CAAGTTACTGAATAGGGTTGTAACTATAATTTATTAAAGTTTTCAAAAGTAACTTTGTCTACTTGTGATGGTTTGTATGCGATATATTAATTACAGAGAAAAATTAAATTTCTTAAGAAACATTAAAACATTGTAACAAATTGAGTTTGTCCGACAGATTCAAGAACATTTAGCTTTGAAATAAAGAAAATTTAGGGGTTATAAATATCAGGCATTCAAGCTGCTAGTGGCTAGTTAATTCAAATGAAACTGAGAAACATTTAACAATGGCCTTACGTGTTGATCAGACGTATGTAAAAAAAATAGTGGCATCTACTAGAAGGTTGGTAATTCTGTGTGACAAAAAAGTAATAATGACCTGAAAGGGACGTCGGCTTAAACTTGTACATAGGTACTTAAAGTAAAGAAAATTCTCGTGTGTATCCTTAATCTTCTGCACACCGGTTTGTTTTCCATTTCCACTCAGAAAGTAGTCACATTATTGGGGTCAGACTGAGTATAGTTAATCACAGAGATGTCATCTGTAAATAGATATATATTTGGTATGTTCTAGAACTGATTCTAATTAACCGTGTTTGATACATCGCGTTCATATAAAGAGATAAATTAATCCCTAAAGAACACTCAAAATGGCAAAGTGGAAACTGTTGCAGGCCAGGTTTGATCAAGCGTGTTCATGGATGGTAGTGGTGACTGAAAGATGTCGTCCTTGCAACGGCTTATGCAGAATTTAACATTAAATATGAACATGTGGCATTTTAAATGTAAAAAACTTCCGCAAATGTGTTTATACGGCAAATATGTATGGCATGCTCGTGTTACTGCATGAAAAGTAGCGCATGGTCCCCAAGTAAAGCAATGCGTGTGCCCTTAGTAAGAGAACAATGTGCGAAACTTAATAAAATGAAATATTAAGAGGGGATCAAAGGTTATGAAATCTGCGTATCACAGACAAAACGTCAAAATTTTCGAAAGCAGGCAACATAACCTTTGGATGATTCTACAGTATTCAAGAAGGAATGCTGGAATCATCAAACTAGAAAAATGATCAAATGGAAGGATTAATGTCTATAAGGTGTGTGAAAGGAAACAAGCTTCAAAAAGAAAAGTATGCTCTTGCAATGCTAGGAGACACTTCTCCGGTAACAATCAATCTTTGATCACAGTTGTTTGGATACAGCTACATCTTTAAAATCTATATGTTACTACCCGTTTGTTACATTGATTTCATTAGATACGTGACGCTTATATCATCTCTGCAAACCTTTGAACTTAAAACAAAGTAACGGAACAGAAATAGAGAATTAAGAAACTTTATAAAATATGGAACCATTTTCCTGAACGCGACATATTTATTTTCAAATAATTTAAAATCAAAGACAGTTACCGCACAGCAGTAAGATATAAAGTTGTGATGAAGACTTTTAATAGAGCTAGTTTATTTTGACGTGTTTGCTACTAAAGGGTTGTTTGCTAAACAATTACTGCACAGCGGTCAATGTTATATGAGGTCAAGGTCAAATGAGGTAACAAACCTATCTCCTTGGTCATATAACCTGTCAAAACTATTTACATTTGTATAACTTATAATAAAGATGTGTTACTAAAGAAGAATTGAATGTTATCGTTATTGTCCTGTGGTTTAATTAATGACTAGTTGTTTTTGTTTTGTTTTTATTTCGAGTGGCCAAAGGTAAATACATTAATACTGTGGATAGTGTGGATGTCTATAGTTAATGTCCCAATTAAAGGCTAGGCCGACAGTTTCATGTTGCACTTTTCATCAGCTGGCCTATGAATCGAAAGAAGAAACCTCACATTGTTTTGTTTTGTTTTGTTTTGTTGTTCTTTGTTGTTGTTGTTTTTTTTTGTTTTTGTTTTTTTTTTTTTTTGGGGGGGGGGTTGTAATTAACATTTATTTCCCATATTGTACAAAACATGTAACAAAAATTTTTTTGGTCGATATAATGTATTGGCAATCAGTAAACAGTCAAAACGGTGTCCAAACCACCCAACTATTTTTTTTTTTTTTTCGTGACAAAAGCCACCCTTAACTAATACTACAGTGCTTAACAGAATAAAGGATCCTCTTAATAAGGACCTCTTGTATATAGAGGAAATGTTATATTTCTCCTCCGTGCGACCCTGGTCACAGGTTTGACTGTAATTATGCATTAAAGTACATAGTCAATACAAATTCAATAATCTCAAATAAAGCCAAATATCGAAACCTCACATTGTTATTACACTTATAAACATAATTATGGTCAACTAATGCCATTTTCACATAAAAAAAAGACGAACTATTTTTGCGCTGTCATGTTAATAGATATTTCAGTAGTAACATTTCAATTTTGAGTGTTTAATTATAAAAAAGCTACCTAATTAACATATTGTAAGTCAAGAACAATAAAAACATCATCGTCCTTTTTATTACAATAAGCGTTGATGGTTCATCGCGCATTTAGGCATATTTTGGTACATGTATTTTGTTTGTGTGGTAAAGCGGGGATTATGGAGAAAATTGCGTTCGGATGTTTTAGCATTTTTCTGTTATTGCATTTGGTACCAGGAAGTGGTCAAGAAGCACCACAACCTCGGCAGTTTGCATGTATGTTATCCGCTTTTTACGATTTTATGCCATATACTTCGAATAAAGTATTCATGTTTTGTATTTGTAAGTACTTTTGTTTAAAGTATTTCACAATTCTATTAATAACTATAATTAGTATTTGTGAAGTATTACATGTATTTTACAGAACAATTTTTGTGCTAAAATGATCAATTACATTTCTACAGATCTCCCATATTTTACATACAATATGTATTTACGAGTATAAATGATATTTTTGTTACAAAATTTAACGCATATTTTTATATTTTGTAGCGTTCCAAGTGCTGATACCAGGTAATGCTATGTTGCTTTTTATATATCAATTTTTTCTGATCAGATTTAAACTGAGCCTGCAGAAAGCTATGGTTATTTCATTTTAAATAAAAAATATGACAGGCTTGCAAAAATGGAAATATTCTGTTGTTCAAGTAAAAAAGCTTAGTTCTAATACTGTAAAAACTAATGTCATTCGAAAGTATTTTGCATAACTATTTACTTATGCAGCGTTTATGTCTTCGTATATCGTCATTATGGGAACTAAATTATCAAAATATGAAGGAAAACATAAACTTTTCTAATATTAAAATTGTCAAATCAAAGAATATTTATATTCAAGGATGCATAATACATAACATATATTTGTTAATTATGTTTTCATATTTTAATGATTTCAGATGTCTCATACTGGGCATATGGAAACAATGATCACGGTAAGCATATTATAAATAAGGACATCATTGATATATAAACATAGAGAGTCGTCTGGTTAGCTCAGTACTATAGGTAGAGCGTTGGACTGTGAATCCGGCGACCCGGTTTCAATAACCGGACGGTGCAGGTCACTTTCTTTGTGATTCATTATGAATTCCTTTCGATGGTCATTCACACTACCTTTGCTCTAGAATATGCAGAAGTTATCAGTTCCTTGCAAAGTGAAGGCAACTAGTACTGGTAAACGGCTTGACAACTTACCCAGGAACGATGCCGTGACTGAACTTGAACTCTGGTAAATTCAACTGCTGTGATCCTGAGTGAAAACTACCAACACCATCACCACCACCAATTAAAACATGAATCAATTATAGGAACATGTGAACATAACATGTATAAGAGCATGTGAAAATAACCTCTCTTATAAAAACAAGATTAGAACATATTTACATTAATACATGAATACACTACATAAAATTATAAACGGTACACAAATAAGAGCATGTGAACTATCTTCACTTCATTCATTTTGACAATCAATGCTCTCTGGTAATAAACTAAACGTTAATTACGTCACGTTTGACCTTTACAAAAATGCAGTTAATTTAGGCCCATTATGATTATAAAAATGCAATTTTTTTTCTTTAAAAACCTTTTTAATTTCTTTGTGTGCAGTTACAGTCTCCAAAACGTTACTAATTGGCTAATTACCTGATCAACTTTTGCTTCTGTCTCTTTTTGGCAGTTGGTATAGTTATAGTGATTTTGTAAGGAAGTAAAAATACTGCATGTTCTTTGTTTACATTTTTCTACTTCAATGACAAATATTTTTTAATTTCTTTCACGCTCTTAATCCATTGTTAAGTCGTTATAAAGATCATGTTTGCCTTTTTCTGAAATAAGGAAGAAATTATTTGTTTATAGGGCATAATGTGCAATTAGCTAAAGATTAATAGACCGTTAGTCATGCATGTTCATATATACATGAAACATTAAAATTTATTGTAATGAGCCTTTAATATAATATGTGCAATATATGAGCCGCGTCACGACAAAACCAACATAGTGCGTTTGCGCAGTCTGCGCAGTCTGATCAGGATCCATGTTGTTCGCTATCAGTTACTCTCCTTGTAATAGGGTTGGTAAGCGAACAGCATGGATCCTGATCAGACTGCGCGGATGCGCAGTCTGGTCTGGATATATGCTGGTCGCTAATGCACTATGTTGGTTTTGTCGTGACGCGGCTCATATTCTTTCAGTTCGGCTGAGTTTTGTACATCTTGCGAGACTTACAGAAAGCCATCTATATAATGTTAAAGCTTTTCAATAAATCAACAATGCATAACTCTTTTTCAGGACCGATGTACTGGCCGAGCTTATTTCCAAATTATTGTGCTGGTATATTCCAGTCACCAATAAATATTGAGACCAGTAAGACAGTGTATAATCCAAATTTAAAGGAGTTCGCCATTTTCTACGATCCACCTTTGCGAGGATCCAAGTTTGAAGTTCATAATAACGGACATGCAGGTAACTAATCCAAGTTCGTAAAAAGTCGGATGTCCGACACTTTCGATTCCGTATCAAATAGTAAAAGCTCTTGAACGACAAGATCGTTTTGCTCCTGTTAAATACACATTTATTATAACTTCCTGCATAAAATGTAGGCAAATATCGGAAAATGTAGGTTAATATCGAAACGTAAAAAATATCAGAAAATATAGCTTTTTTATTACTTCACTGTAAATTTTCTACCTAAATTGCGTAAAATCTATGTCCTTTCCATAAAGGGTTATGGAAAAAAAATCTTCCAACGGATTACCACATCAAATGATATAAGGATATCATGTCTCTTCTTGCGTATCAAAGGTGTTTGATGTTGCAGCTAACAAACATATAGCATAAGGATTTTGAATTTTTTAATGATTAAAGAAAACATTCACAAAACGATATTCATTCAATATGTAACATATGTTCAAAACATTTATTTGTTACTATTTTTAGTTGAAGTGAATACTGACGGAAGTTTCTACATTTCAAATGGTGGGTTGCGTTATTTGTATAAAACAGCTCAGTTTCATTTCCATTGGGGTAGCCAAGATGCTCAAGGGTCCGAACATACAATTGATGGTGAACGGTATCCTCTAGAGGTACTTACATTTGAGCCGCGTCACGACAAAACTAACATAATGGGTTTGCGAACAGCATGGATCCAGACCAGCCTGCGCATCCGCGCAGTCTGATCAGGGTCCATGCTGTTCGCTATCAGTTTCTCTACTTGTAATAGGGTTTGTAAGCGAACAGCATGGATCCTGATCAGACTGCGCGGATGCGCATGCTGGTCTGGATTCATGCTGGTCGCAAATGCATTATGTTGGTTTTGTCATGGCACGGCTCATTTATATTTTAAAGGCCCATTATGCCACAGGAATACTTTTAGTTTAATTTCTCAAAAGCTTTTTATTATTGATGTCCTCTTTAAGTTTCCAAAAATGTTCTCATTGGCCTTTTACATTAACCACCTTTTTGCTTCGGATACGTTTTGGCAATTACTTTAGGATAGTGATTAAGTATTTTGTATACAATGTACAAGTCAAATTACTACTTTGTTTGCATTTTTCTACATTTCATATTTCGCGCTAATTTTTTAATGTGCTAAGCATCTAGCTTGCTGTAAACTATCATTTCAATCTTATAAAACTAATGTTTGCCTTTTCTAAAGAAGGAACAAATCATTCATTTCTAGGCATATTGTGCTTTTAAACAAGACATCATATGAACGTTTAATATAATCTTTGACAGTGACACTCAGCAATTGCGAGTGTGATCTTTCACATGAATATCGTAAGGAGTGGTAGTTTTTCACTATATGCTAAGCATCTTTTTAAGCGAGTATAGGAGTAAGGTCTATTATACACAAGGTATTGAGGTCCATAATTTTATTACAAACATTTCAACAGATACGTAATCTTCAAAATAGACCAACAAAACGTACCAATTTAAAAGCATATAAGCATGTGTACTTGCTCCGGAGCGTTTTCAATTTTGAAAAATGCCAAAAATTCAAGTTTTCAAAAAAGAAAGAAAGAAAGAAAGAAAGAAAGAAAAGAAAAGAAAAGAAAAGAAAGAAAGAAAGAAAGAAAGAAAGAAAGAAAGAAAGAAAGAAAGAAAGAAAGAAAGAAAAGCATCAATGTGAGTTTTTGAAGATGACGTATCTGGGTAATTTTAATAAAATATTATTATCTATTTTTAGATGCACGTTATCTATTTTTAGATGCACGTTGTAAATTGGAATAGCGACAAATACAAATCAAGTGACGAGGCTGGGAAACATCGGGAAGGTCTGGCTGTTCTGTCAATCTTGTTCAAGGTATCATCATTCGACAACCCGACATTGGAACCAATTATTCGAGTTCTACATCAGTTAAGAGATCCAGGTAAGTAGATTTACATGTTCAAGATGCTCCCTCGGTGACCAAAGACAAAGTTACCAGCATGCACCCATTTCCTGTGTCTAACATAAAGTACAACTTCTGTAGAGCAAAAGCTTTTGGAATACAAGGATTTTGGTTGGTGTTAGTGGTGTGTTCTACAGAAGGCCACCATCCTGCACTGGTTGTACTGTATTCAATTTATTCGTAAAGTCTGAAGATTGCATGGCTAATTGCAATCAACCTGTTAACTGTCTACAATCAGATTTTTAGATTGAATCAATCGGTTTATTTTTTACCTGAAAAAGTATAATCTACCAATTTAGTATAATGACAACTGGAAACAGTGCTTGCGACAGGTACATTAGCTTAACCCTGAACAATCATGTTATGGCCATGCCCTGCTTTGAATTTGTCCTTTTTAATTATTGCAATATTTTATTTCAAAGTGCTCAATTGAGGAGCCAACAGTAAAAAGTCTTGCCATACAACACAGTCGGCATGACCCTTGCTAGTATGGCTGCAAGCATGTAACTAATTATATGCGGCCAAATATTTTTGTCATATTACAAATGCATATTATCCGCGATTTCATTCTTTATCTTAATACCCTGTTGAGAGCATTTACCTCTTTACAACAACTGCATTATTTATCCCTAGAGTAAACAATAAGAATAAAAACCTCCCTACAGAAAGCCTCTCTGCAGGAACCAAAATGTTTATTTTCCCAGGAGTATAACAGAATTTTTATAACTTTAATAACGAATATAATGTTACATATGTTACGATAGGGAAAATATTTAATGTGAAAGAATAAGCTGTTCTTCAATGAATAATTTATATATGTTTAAGTATGCCTGATAATAATTTACAACTTTTTATGGTTTTAAATGCTCAAATTAAGATTTATCAATATAAAGATATTACCGAATTTAACATTTCATGTAAATAAAGGGAGGTTATAAACAAATTATTTTCTATAAAGTTTAAGTCAAATTTTACAAAAAGAAATGAATGCACATATTTTAATGATTACATATAAAAAAAATAATAATTTTGCTATTTTCATCGTAGACAGACATGTATTAGTAACTATACCGGCTGTTTCAATAAAGGAGTTTCTACCCCAATCACCGGACAGATACTTCCGGTACGCTGGTTCCCTTACTACACCCAACTGCTCTGAAACTGTCATATGGACTATTTTTGAACAGAACCAGTACATCTCTGAGAGACAGGTAAGATAATGTGATGCTGACTCACTGGTCAAAATATGCATCTTTAAAACAATGTTTAAAAAAAGACAGCTTCTTAAAAGAAAGTTACCAATATGCTTAAACTATAATAAATGTAAATTCTTTAAAGCTAGTCGGTGGCACATACTATCCAACTCACTAAAATAATTTAGATCTCTTTTTGTGATATGCATTTAATGCTGCAGTGCTTAGATCTATTGCATATTAAATAATTTTGTCTTTATCAAATGTAATTGAAGCAGTAAAATTTACAAACCACGTGTGTATATAAATTATATAATTATTCTAGCTAAGGCACTTCCGGGAGATGTTTACCTCATCACTTCATATTGAAGCAAAAACACGTAACCGGGTACCAGGTAAGTATAACTGTATTATATATAAATATATATAAACTGAACGCAACACATAATTTTAGCAAAATATGAATTGTCGATTAATTCGAAACACCGGCTTATTACCTCTGCCAATTCGTATTTCACCAGAGATGTTCAATTATTTTCTTGGACATTTTTATTTTCCAAAGACATTTTAGACACCCAAAGGATCTTTTCATATACCAGTTGTATGAAGAAATAATATTTTTAGAATATCTTTGAGTAAGTTTTCATAGCAACGAAGGACCTTTAAACTGGCTGTTGATAATGGGTATGTTGTAAAATACTGAAAGAATATTTTTGTTCATTGGTTATTGACAGTGTTAAAAATAAAAGCAATTAGGTATTCTATCAAGAAAGATTAATTGTTTCTAAATGCTGACGTAGAACCTTGTGTATTGCTATATATCTTTTTGACAGTGTATAATAATGTGTATAATAATTTCGAATAGAAAATACATTATAAACATCAAACGTTATTAATAAGCATGATTGATATATTTTGTAGGTGAAGGTGGTGAATGGAGGGCATTATTGTCAGATAACTTCCGGCCGGTTCATAACCTTAATGGTCGAACAGTTTTCCGGAGTTTCCAACACCTCCCGTTACAAAGTGGCCAATCATGTAACCCGAGGGTTGATCTGGATATTAAACTGCGTACCTAACAAATGTACAATATAATAATCATTTATGTTATGTAAGGTCAAGGATTTCTATGCTGAGACGAGAATGTTGTTTGGTAATGCATGTATATAGAACATATTTGTTTGCCTATTCTTAGGGTATTTTATTTTTTATTTAAAAAACGTTCGTAACTTTCCTCTGATGTATTTTTGCCTCTCATTGCTAAATGGAGCGAACAATTGATATGATGGGAAATAAACATGTAATAGACTAAATACTAAAATTAAGTGATCTATAGTCAGACATTCGGTTTATATGTTGTAGTAATTAATAAACATGGACTTAAGGTGGTTTTCAACATCGTATGTGCTAAAAGCTGGGTTATTATAATAGTATAAAAATTATATGTATACAACATGTAGGAAGCTTTTGGCGCCAAAGATGTATAGACTGTAGGAACAACAAGTAAGGAAAATAAGAAACTGTATGTCGGGAATCCGCCCATATTTGCTTACGATTGTTTTGAGATAAGCAATTAAATTAATTTATCCTGCTTCGGAGTTGACATACATCATTAACGATGTAGTTGTATTTTTGTATGTTACATGTCAAAACGTCAGAATGAGTTATAAAATGTAAAAATATGTGAAGAGTATTATACATGAAAATATACTGAATAAAATATTTCGTATTTATGTCACAGGGTCAAGTATACATTGTCCGTATTGCAAGTGCTGGTCTGTTCGTGTCCATGTTTGCCTCTGTATATTTATATGTTAATGTCCATGTCCCCTATTGTTTTCCGTAGTTATTTCTTTAATTCATATACTCATAGCTCATATCTCATATCCAATAGCCATTACCTATACATAATAGTACTTTATAATTTTTTCAATCTCTTCGATTGTCTTTTCTCGCTAATATTTCAATTTCCCCGCTAATCTGCACAACGCATGCATACTTGAATTGAGAAATTGTTGGCGCAGGCCACGGTTTTGTTGTAGTGAAGAATAAATATTTTGAGTAGCGCATACTTGTCTTTTTACAGACCCCTCTACCACAAGTCCAGAACTCACAGCAGAGTCTACGAGCCCTTTGTTTCGTTTGAGCTGCGACATTTAAAAATATAAAAAAACAATTTCCAAACAAGGATACATTGCTATGCCAGCAAGTTTGAACCGTCGCATACGATACTTCTATAAATAAACCTATAGTTCATATCTATAGAGCTATCTCCTTAGCGACATGACTACCTCTTGGTTCAAATGGTTAACTTCTATAGGTGAAATTAAAGAACAAATTAAACAGGCTTTGAACGAAACGCTTTATTGCAAAAGGCAATTTGTAGAAAACTATGGTAACAGATGTAAATATAATTGTACAAAAATAACTTAATGACATTTGATGTCACAAACGAAAATAAATAAATTGTGAAAGTTATGTACAAACAATGATACAAATAAATATGAAAGTGTAGAAGAATGGAAATAGAGGATGAGGTATGCAAGTTGATATAAATAGAAAAAGAAAATTACGTCACGTAGACTGTAAACATATGTAAATGTGTATTTGTAAACATATACAACTGTGTACTTTACAGTGAAATAATGACTGCCGCAGTAGTAAGTTGGAAAGTCATATGGCATGCTTATAAACAAAATGCAACATGTACATTCATTCATAAGTTTTGATTTTTTGTTGTAAAATTATACGAAGTCTACCATCCACACTTCTTTAACGTTAATAAATTTCTCTCTCGAAGCCATCACTTTTCTTCCGGTTATCAGTCCGGTGAAGCGAATCACAATCTAGCTTATCAACTTTTTATTTAATTGTGAAATAAATTCACATTTCTGATCAAACTGCAACAAACTAGTAAATGATTAACATTAATTCAAAATCTTGTTGAAATGGCGTACATATTCTTATATAGCAACATCATCATAATTAATTTCACTTCTAAATTGTCGTCTGCTACCCTTTACTCTTACAAAAACAAGCAATCGCATTCTGATATCCGGTCGAAACTTAATTCAGTATGCAAAATGTCTGCAAGAGCGTGCGTTCAAAAACATCAGTCACGAGATATCTTGATGATTAAATAATGAGCGTCTCCAAACCCTTGATGTTCTTGTTATCATTTTCCTCGGGCCACAGTTCAGCCGGAAGGAGCACTCGGTGCTTGCTGATACAATGGTAATCGTGGTGTTCGTACTTCTGTCTTGCTCCCTGGAAGTATACGAAAATAAATTATACAATGAAGTTAAACATATACTTCTTTTTGCTAGATACTATGTAGTCTTTTTGCTAGATACTATGTAGTAGCGCTATATCTTTTCGCTCTTTAATATAAAATATCCATCGGAAATTCTTGGGAATGAGGCAAGTGCCACCTTCCGATTGATAAGCGTTGCTAAGACGTTCGTCAAGAAGAAAAAGCTTGATAGATAAAAACAAACTTGCTGAATGTGCATGTGTATGGTCAATAAATGTCGGTTATATTTGAATGTGAAAATAACTATTCTTTACGCTTTAAATTAGAAGAAAACAACAGTTGAGTCTGTTGACTTTATTTAAAAAGTAACCTCTAGAGATTAAATAAGGTCTGCTGTACTAGCTAGCTGCAACTTAGGTTGATGAGTGTAACATTATTACTATTGAACAGATATGATTTGATTTGATTTTCTTTAGACCAGGCGGTCAAGGATAGCCTACGAAAGTGCAAGCACTTATTTCCAGTAGGGTTCTCACATCAGCAGACACTAGAGACAGCTATGAGATACAAGGGAATCCGGGAACCAGTCCCCAGCTCTTATTTAATAGATCCCTTGGTTCTTTTACATGCCCAGTGTATAGCACTGATACATGCGAGGATAAGCTGGATTTCGTACCAGTGTACATCTAGGTAGGTGGGAAACACTGATAGTATTTCTGAAAAATCCCAAGGGTGTTACTTAGGATCGAACCCGGAACCTCAGGAGTCACAGTCAATGTTCTAACCAACTGAGCTATCGCGCCACCTGGGCTTTATTGTTTCTTGAGATAGTGACCAATAGCTCCACACCTAAGTTTCTTTAAAGAAAATTAATCTATATTACATGAAAATGATCAAATTTTAAGAACTTACAGAAAACTTGTTGGACTTGTGCAACTTGGCCAATGCTCGTTTCATTGATTTAACACACTCACTCAGATCATTCTCTGAGTACTTGGTGTAATGAGCAAACGCCTGATCCCAGACGATCTCGCATCCTAGAATTTCTCGCGAGAGATAGATGGCGCTGGCTGCTAGCATAGAGTGATAGAAATGAACAAACGTGATGTCCGTTAGCGTCAAATCTAGGAAATACATAGACATGCTCTGAACCTGAAATCAGCAAAAAGAGAGCAGTGTTAAAACTTTGTATTACATCAACGGGGTATATTTTTGTTTCACGAGAATCGAGTATCAGTTGTTAGCAAAGATGGCCCAAACTGAGTTCCATAGTTGATATATTCATGCTATAGCAAATGACAATGAATAAGCTTTTATTAAATGATTAAACGAATTATTAATACGAGTATAACTACAAATATAAATACCATAATTTTTAAATATGTACCATTAAATTGCCTTTAAATATGTATAAGTGTGAAAGGAGCTCCGCTGAGGTACAAAAGCCTAAAAACATAAAATTTCAATGTCTTACATAGTTACATAGATCATATGAGGCACTTACAACAAATTGTTATGCAAATGACAGTAAATAGATATACTCAGAAATAAATTGGAAATCGTATTTTTGTGCTATTCTTAGCCCAATTTGAGTGAAAAACATTAAAACGCTTTTTAATTTTGGATAATTTTTGACAATTAAGATGATTATTCTGGAAAAAAGGAGTGAGCAAATGATCTGAAAGTTTGCATACAAGTTATTGGTCTAGAACTACATCAAATGAAATATCAATCTCGAAAAAATATTTTTAGTCCTGTCATGACAAGAAACCTCAGTAGAGTCCCTTTAATGTAAGAAAACATACCAGTGTTTTCTTCTCACATTGATTCACCAGAAGAAATCTCTCCAGGAATATGATAGGTCCAGGTATATTGAGTTCAAATTTTACTTTCTTCAGGATATAGATTTCCATCTTAAGAACTTGTGACGGCTGGTACGTTCCATCCGTGAGATGACAGAGGTCAGCAATCTAACGAGAGAGAAAAAAAGCTTTTGTGGTAATTGTTCACAAATAAACAAAATTTGAAAAATATAAAGCAGCACAACTCCAAATTTATACTAGTTTTTATGAAAATTTGAAAAATTTATTATATAATTTACACATTGCAAACGGTACGTTCAATTTCAAGTATATTACCAAATAAAGGTCAAAATGTGCAAAACTAGCCCTTAATGCGTTGGTCACGCATAGAAATATGGTGGTAGATACTGCAAAATCAGTAATTCATTTCATATAACATGTTAATCATTACTTGAATCGTGAATATTTTTGCTTTTCTTAACATCTTACTTCATTTTTCTCTAAGTTGTTTTTCTTTTCTGTTTTGGGGGGAGGGAAGAGGGGCTAATTTTTAGGCATGCAGCTTTAAGACAGAAACGTAAATGTACTAGATGGAAAATGCCATTTTCATAAAATTTGCAGGCACGGACGGACTCCTATGACGATATTCTTTCTAAATAAGTTCCTAACATATATACTACACACCGGAAGTCCCAAAAGGAATTAAAGTTCCACGAGGAATTCGAATCCGTACATTGTAACAGTGTTGATCTACAAAATTGTTCAGTTTTCTAAAGCTTGGCATGTATATCCAATTTGCACTAATAATTACGAAGGTATGTAGTCAAAGTATTTCGAAACAATCAAGAACAGTTTAATATGTGCTTGATATTCTGAAAAACAAAGCAAGCTTTATTAACATTAATTTAACTAACCTCTGGTGGAAATCTCTCGTGGTACTTGGCTGCAATGAGAAGGGATGTGATACCGAGGAGTTGAAGGGTGTCTAACTTCACTGTCTGCATGGACAGAAACTTGTCAATCAGGTTAACACATAGATGCAGGGTATACTGTGATAAGTCTAGATGTACCTGTATATTCAACAGATATAATAACAATTACATGTAATTCAAAAGATATATTTATAGGTAAATGAGTTGAATTGCAATATACAGAAAAAAGTGAAAGCAGATTACATATCTTTGGTAGTAAGACTAATAGCTGGTTATAAATGATCGTTCTATGCGTACTCATATTGTAATGGAAATAAAATCATAAAGATTTTTCCAATTTTAAAATAGTACTGACGTGAAATGGCCTTTTGATCATTACAAAAGCCATAATACAAATATGTCAAGAAAGCGTTACTATTTCATAAGAGCCAGCATATTATCTAAGTAATCTACAGAACTTCATTTACATTTGAAATCTGTTGTCAAAATGTTAAAAGTAACTGCAACGCCTAGTAAAAACAGATTCAAAAGGCATAGTTTGAAATGGTTTAAGTCTAATGTACACGTTCGCCTAAGAAGTTTATCTGCATTGTTGAAAAGTTTATATATTTGGTTTGTATGTTTAATGACATGGTCGGTAAGTTTATGACTCTAGTCGGAAAGTTTATGGATCTGGATGGAAACTTGATGGATATGGTTGAAAACTTCATGGATATGGTTGAACACGTTAAGAAAATGTTTGAAAAGTTTATATATGTCTTTAGAAACTTTAATGATATGGTCGGAAAGTTAATGAATAATGTTAAAAACTTCATGGATATGGTCAAAAATTTATGGATGTGGTCGAAAACTTTATAGATATGGTTGGGAGTTTTATATGTATTGTTGGAAAATTTAAGAATGTAATGGGGACATAAATGGATACAGATGACATATTTATGAGTACCTGAACTTGGATAAGCCAGTCCATGAGAACTGTTCTCATATGAGTTGTTACTTCAGTGCCTTTCTGCATGAGGTATCTGTCCGGAAATGTAAACCTTCGTTCTATCATCTGCAAATAATATAACATGAGACATAAAAAGAATGAAGTCCTTAACGTAACTTTGCAGTCATTCTACCGCTAAAAGACGATATCTATGGTCCAAATGACCTAATTGTTATGGTCGCTGGTCACATGGCAGGTTCTTGCCACTGTGTTCGAATCCTGCAAAGCACAATGAAGAAGCCACCAGACTAGCATACTGAAGCTTAGTAGATCTACTAGTGACCAGTGGTACCTAAAATCTTAGTCAACCAGTAAAGCTGACAAGACGGCATATGAGCCGCGTCACGACAAAACCAACTTAGTGCGTTTGCGACCAGCATGGATCCAGACCAGCCTGCGCATCCGCGCAGTCTGATCAGGATCCATGCTCTTCGCTATCACTTTCTATACTTGTTATAGGGTTTGTAAGCGACCAGCATGGATCCTGATCAGACTGCGCGGATGCGCAGGCTGGTCTGGATCCATGCTGGTCGCAAACCCACCCACTATGTTGGTTTTGTCATGGCACGGCTATTATGACCTTAACAATATCAGTGTTAGGCCTACCTGAAGATAGTCAATGATATCCTGGGCATACTCTGAGCATGTTAATGGGTCTTTGATGGCATCAATGTCCAGGACACCGTGGGGTTTTCGGGTCATCACACTGCGTATTTTAACCATGGGTGAATCGACGTCCATGGGCGACAATTCTAAAAAATTGCCACATTATTATAATTTATGAAAAAACAGTCTCGTAAAGAAAATCAATCAATTGAAAATTAAAAAATTATTGAGTTATATTTTAAAAACACTTTTTAAACATCATTTCAATCCGGCATTTGCTTTAATGTAGGCATAATAATGTTCATACGGGTATTTAAAAAATGCATTTTATGCTTGATCTTGAAACCAACTCAACTTAATTGCAATATAATAATTCGCTTTCTAGTATTGAGTGTTATAATGAGGAAACGTGGTCGTGACCCACGACACTTGTTTTGAAAGGCAGATCTCTAAACCACTAAACCACCTAATTTTTTATCTATACCAGTTAGTCATTATTTCAGACAAACAATTTTAACAGTGTATACAAATTTAAAGAAATACAAAGCAATGAAACAAATTAATTTAACCATACCATGGTCATCAGGAACAACATGGCCAGGGGCTGTAACTGTGAACCGTGTTTGCTTCTTTTCACTAAAAGACGCTTTTCGTCCTGAAAACAGGCCAAACGTAACGTTTTTTTTATAATACAAACACTAACGATAACAACGAATAACGAAACGAGAAATGCCAATTTAATTCCAAGATATTATGTTCGCCAGATATCATTTTCATTCACCAGTCACAAATATTTTACACGCAGGAACTTAAGGAAAAATGGCATTATGCTAAAACATATCTCAAACAAGCTCGAACTCTAAATTTAGTATCATAAAACCTGCCGCTATTTCATTTCAGCAAAACAGAGAATCAGTTATATATCCAGTTTAAAAGAGATAGAAAGATAAATTGACATTTTCCAGTTGAAATCGTGAACTTGAAATCGTGAATTTATGAAGCTGAAATCGTGAATTCATAAAGCTGAAATCGTGAATTCATGAATCTGAAATCGTGAATTCGTGAATTCTGTATGTTGAAAACGTGAATTCACGAAGTTAAAATTGTGAATTCATGAAGATGAAATCAAGAATTCATGAAGTTGAAATGGCCCTACCGATATTTCGTACTGTGATTTAAATCTGTTATCGTTTTCATAAGCCACATTACTTACCCCAAGGTTTGAAGGAGACTTTACTGTGAGTCCTTACCAAGGGCACCTTTTTCACCTCTTTGGGTTTGCCGCTAACGGAATCTTTTCTTATCTTGTTTATATAGCCGATATGTTGTCTGTTTGTTCCATCAGATAGACCTTTGGTCTGTAATAGAATAAACGGGGTTTGGGTATTTAAAACCATTTAAATGTGGGTTTTTAAAGTTAGTTTTAAATGCAGGGGGTTATCGTGCTATTTTTTGCAATGCCCTTGCAATTGTTTCCCAAAGATGGGTTTCAGGGGCTACGCCCGGGTAAAAGGGAACGCGTTTGGTTTTTTTAAATTTAAATTTTAATAAAGTACTTTAATTTAAGAAATTTGATTTTAAAGAGAATGAGACTGTAAAACCGAAAAAAAATTTTAATTTTTGGGAAATAAAAATTTCAATTACGGAGACCCCTTTAAAAACCTTAGCATCATAAAACCAATGGGGGGGTTAGCCCTTTAACCCTATTTTAAAAATTAAAAAATGGACTTTTGTTTTTTTTAACCTGGTAAAGGGCCCAATTTAACAATTTTTGGGGAATTTTTTTTCAAAATTTTTAAAGAACTGATTGAAATAGCGAACAGTCCCGTCCATAATCTTGGAAATAAACGGGTTTTGCAAGGGTACAGCAGAAAACCCGAAATTTAAAAGGTTTTAGCTTTTAAATTTAAAATTTTATTCCATTTCCATATACATGTCCCTTCTATCCCTTCAAGTTTTCTTGTTTTCCCTTTTAAAACTTTAGCCCGGGGCAAATGCATTTTTTTGGAGCGAATAACCGTTCTTTTCTGATGGCCTGTTTTTTTCCTCCCCCTTTTTCCCCTTCTAAAAGGTTTTGGGTTTTAGCCATTGTTGTTGGTTATATATTTGGAATGGCTGGATCTCGGGATAAGACGCCATAAATTTGGGGTTTCCCTTGAAAATTAAAAAAATATGGATAAATAAGTAAACGTGTTAAAATTTAAAAATGTGGAAAGTCGTGAATGTTCAGTGGTAGGGTCCGGAAAAAATCTGGGAATCTGAATAATAAAACTGGCCGAATAAAGGCATGAAAATTTTTTTAAATGGTAAATTTTTATACCAAAAATATTTTTAAAAAAAAACCACTATTATTAATATAAAAAAAGTGTCATTATTTCAATGTATTAAAAAGGCGAAGCCCGTTGGAAAGCGATACATGAAACCTCCGCTGCTATGTAAAAAACTAAATAATTGAGCAGTATATATCACGACAAAACCAATATAATGGGTTTGCGACGCAGCATGGATCCAGACCAGCCTGCGCATGACCGCGCAGTCTGATCAGGATCGCGTGCTGTTTCGCATCAGTTTCACTACTTGTTATAAAGGTTTGTAAGCGAACAGATAATGGATCCTGATCAGACTGCGCGATGCGCAGGCTGGTCTGGGATCCATGCTGGTCGCAAAACCTCATTATATTGGTTTTGTCGTGACACGGCTCAATTGATTATTTGTTAATATTTCAACGATAAATACACGCAAAAGGGACAGGAGTGTGAATTGAAGTCCATGCGATAGAACCTTGTATTCAAAAAAAGCCGATCAGTTTTGTGAAATAGAGATTTACATCTAAAAGGATTGGGAATACCTCTTGGTTTGGAGAAGGTAACTTGGAGGAAAGGTTATCCGAATTGCAATTAATTTTTCTATTTGTTATCTTGCATTTTGTTTTTTTGTTTTTATTCCAATTTCAACAAATGTTAAATTTATTTTTTAGTGTTTGCTTGTAATGGTGGTTTTTGTGTTTTTGTTGTGTCTGAATAAAACATGATATCTTTATCAATCTATATTCTCCTCATAGTGTCAGGGAATAATTTGTGGTATATTAGAAAAATTCAGTGATCAACATTCTATTTAGAACCCTGACCCCTTTAAAAACGTGGGTGGGGGGCTGAGGACGGGGGATCGGAAAGTTAAAGTTTTCCGAATTTTTCCATCTCACACTGGTCCAAGTAAATATGCATTGGTATGTCTTGTATTTACGGACTTGTTTTTAAATTATGTTTTGTTTCTTTTTCATTGTTTTGAATATCTTGGGGAGTGAGGGTAGTGGGAACTGTAGTGTAAACACATCTCGCAGAGGGAATTGGGTTTTTCGATTTACTCTTATTTTTTCTGACTGCTTTAACCGGCTTTTTGGCTGGGCCGGTGATTTTGATTAAAAGGTTTATTCTCCGGGGGTGGGTGATAATTTAAATATTGTTGCTGAAAAATTTATATTTGGATTTTGAAATAAAGAGAGTACTTCAAAATAACAGTTTGTTTGGGTGGAGATGATAAATTGCTTGTTTTATTTGCCTTTTTTTATTTTTTTTGCGCTTTTTATCAGTTGGTTTTTAACAACCACTTTTTTTTTTTAAACAGTTAAATACAAAATGTTTTTCTCTCGTTTTAACCAAAAAACGACTTACTTGTAGAATTTGCTGTCAAATTACCAAATATGAATAGATTAATGAATCAAATAAATAAATAAAGAAATATATAAAGAAATAAATAAAACAAATGAAATATTCACTGACCTGTTTATAAGTGAAAAGTTTTTACTCCTGAATGTTTCGATGAGTGAATGACAATCTGCTCAAAATGCACGAGTTATTTATGCTTTCCGCTCGAACAAATCTTTTAACATATATTCAGCCATGCATAACTACTGTGTACTACATATTATTGCCTGAGGTCACTTTATGGAAAACCATAGTTTCCTACTATACTTCTTCTTCTTAAGTGAATTTTTAAACCCCCTCATAAAAACTAAATCCGGTTAACAACAAGCCCGTAAAAATTAAAATTTAAAAAAAGGGGGGGTGATTTTTTTTCATCGTTTCAAAAGATAAGAAAATTCCCAAAGGGAAAGGTGGGGGGCCAAAAGGATCACGCAAAACCCTATCCCACCCCCAGCTGCACAGAAAATTTTCCATCCCCTGATATTTGGTGGCTATGGTTTTAGGCCAAGATTCCCACTTTTGCCCCATTCTTTTAAAAAGACAAACAACGAAGCCCTTTCCCCTTTGTAAAAAAACTTGGGGGGGCCCTTTTTTCCCGCCTGTGAAACCAGCTTTCCCCAGAGCATACCCCAGGGGGGGGCGGGGTTGCAGCCCCAGGAACCCTTCAAGTGAGGACTATTTGGGGGCCCATGGGGAAATAATAAAAAGGAGTTAAATTTTTTTTTTTTTTACCCTTTTTGTTTTTTTCTTTTAAACTTGCACTTATCATTCCCCGCAAAAATTTTTTTGGGAAACATACCCCCTTTGTTAAGGGTTAATGCCCCAAGCGGGGCTATGTACAGTAACTTGAAGAAAGAAGAATCGAGTGTACATAATTAGCATTCATCAATTTTTATAGAAAAAGATAATCAGCATATAACAAAAACATGCGCCATACTAAGGTTATATTTGATGAGTAGAAATAACTTATACTATCAAACACTAATAATAACTTTTTAAGTAAACCCAATATCAAGAAAACGTAACAGCACCACTATATGAACAAAATAAACCGCGCCTTCCTCTCATATATCAAAATCAATACGTGCAGACATGCCTGATCAAATAGTCTCGATCATTTATCAAAGCCACAGCACCATATATCAAAACGGCGCCATCATTTTTCAAAGCCACAGTACTGTACAGCTAGTGTATAAAAAGACAGCATCATATATCAAAACGATATTACCATTCATCAAAACCACAGCACCATTTATTGAAACCACAACACCTTTTACTGTAACCACAGCACCATTTATCACTTAAGAATTAAGTAGTTATAGAAGGCAGCTATGGCGTTCCAAAATCACCTTGTTTTAAACAATCAAAAGGGGATGTTTTAAAAACTAGTCCCTTTTTAAATTTAAAATTTTCCCGCATTTTTTAAAACGGATTTAAAAAGTGGTTAAATTTTTTTTTGTGTGCCCTTTTTTTAATTTTCAAAGTTTTTATACGGGATGTAAGAAAAACTGGCAGAGTGCATGAAAAAGGCTTCCCAAAATTTCACTTTTCACCAGATTTTTAAAAAAATCCAAAATTTTTGGAAAAAAAAATTGAAAAAAAGTTTTAAACCTTTTTTTTAAAACGGTCCAGTCAAAATTAATTATGTATTAAAATAAAAACAACATGCCAAATTAAATTTTTATATAATGTTGTTTTTTGAAAAATCGAAATAAAGTTTTTCCCAAAATTTTTTTAATTCAGGAAACGTAACAAAAAAATGAGCCTGTAATACTTGTAAAAGTTTTCAAATGGTATTTTAAGGGACGGTGATTTACGATCCAATATAAAATAGTAGCATGTGAGAAATTTCTACTTTCCCTCATGTACAGACTCAGTCAAATATGGAGTCTCTTGGGGGCAGTTGATTTTTTAAAATCTTCGACAGTGTTGTTCTGTTTCTTCGGGATAAGTCCTGCAAAAATATTTCTAAAATAAATCACAGCCGTAATTCAATCGCAATTGCCATTTTCCCAACTTTTTTGGTGGATTTTTCCCTTTTTTTTCTTTTATAAAAAAATAAAATATGTTTTTTAAAAAAAGAACTGTTTTTGTTTATTGTATCAAAAATTGTATCAGCCCCCCGCCCATTTTTTAAACCCGGAAAACCCCGTGTATTTCATAAATGAAGCCAATCGCAAGTTTTCGGCCCTTTCCGTCAGTCTTCGGAACGTTCCGAATGAACGAGAAGCTTGCTTACGCCATGATTTATGAGCGCTTTACCGACAGTGATGGAACCTCAAGACGAAGAAATTACGAAGCTTTTATCAATTATTGAAGAAAAAAATCGAGAAATTGAACGGCTGAGAAGCGTGAATGTGGTAAAGTGATTTTGATGTGTCCCTTCTTAAAAAAAACTACAATATGTTTATTGAATGAGGCTTTTTTAACAAAATGTTTACATTTTCGAATAGTGTAAATTATTCGGATATTGACATGTCACGTGGTATGCGGCGAGGTTTCACTGTGTTTACTAGTATTAAAAGGGAATATAACATGAAAGTATAGGTTAATAATTCGGCGTCGCAAATTTTTTCTAAAGGCTACCAACCCTGCCATGCAGGACTGGCTTTTCCCAGTGTAACCCATAGGAACTCGAGAACGGGACCGCAGATTGCGGCGCATATTTTCGATCGTGTAACGGTTTTTAAAAACGTTTCTGCTACATCTAAATATCTTTAAGTATTATCCGAGCATATGGCCTCAAACAATATATTATCACTTGAACCCAATCTGTTACTTTTAAAACTGGTCAAAGTTTACGGTATTATAAAAAAAGACAAGGAGTGACATCCGCCATTTGCCGCAACGTTCGGCATGAGTTTTTCCCCTTTGGCTACACTTGATTACTATTTTTGAGAATTTTGTTCCCGTTATCGTTGTCAACTATCAGGTATCCAGTGATTAATCTAGAAATTCCTTACAATGTGTCGGATGACGCACATGTTTGAAAACAATGAGTCCTGTAGCAAAATCAATGAGTTATGTAGCAAAATAAATGCGTCTTTTTAATAGCAGATCCTTGACATGATTTGAATGTTTTTATAACAAGCGATTAAGTAATTAAAGTGCATAAAAACGTTATTTATGGTACTAATATTAATTGCAGGCAAAACAATTTTTATTGCCAATATTGGCTGCTCAAAAATCTAATTTTCATAATTTATATTTTCTTACTACTTATGTCTAATACTGTGCATTATCCATTTAAATTGTTCGTAATTTGCACAAAATGTCCCTCTCACACTGTATACATACTGACGACTTTTTTTGCTCCTTGTATGCCTCTGTGTAGAAAGCATACACAGACAGACCTTTTGATCATGAAAAAAAGTCATGCACAATGTTACCCTGATTGGTTAATCACCCGGTCAAATATTCTGATGACGTAATAGACATCTTTTTTTTTTACACTCCGCGTGAACTTGAGTGACCTTAGGGGAAATCATTACACACCTGTCAGATTATACTGTAACTTACAGCATTTCTTAAAATAGCAACACTTTTTTTCAGTTACCGATAATTATTTAAAATGTTAAGTAGATAAATGATTTTTTGTTTGCTTTATTGGATTAAATTTACGATAGTAGAAATGCAGTAGTAGGTGGGAAAGGAATTAGGTAAGTAGATAACTTGGAAAAATGCTATAGGGAAATGGATAAACTCAAGAATATGCGTAATTACAGGGGAATGGGTAACCTGTTGCTGTTGGTACCAGTTTTGTCTGGATGACTAAATAACATACAATATAAGTCTGATGCGCCTTTGGCCATTTGCTGACGATTTTCCTGTGCCCTTCTCATTTTTTAGCGCCAATGTCTGCATATTTCACCATTGTAGGCGAATCGCTCTTATGCAAAATGGACGCTCTGATTGGCTTATGCCGATAATGGGCGGTTACCGATCACAAGCAACAATTGCTTGGGATTTAACGTTTCAAGCAAATGGGGGATTAGTCTTGCACCTGATATCATCGGAAATTAAATTATTCAGCTGAAGAAATTGAAAAATTATTCAACTAATGAAATTAAAGTAATCAATCTGTACATAGAAATCACTAATCGTGATATTTTGGATTATAAACTTCCAGATTAGCATGCATCAGATTGAACGCACATATTTTGAAACTGTGCGTCTTTTTCGATTTTTATGCGTATTTTACGCAAGACACACATCTAGATTTATCACTGGGTATCGTAACAGTTTATTGTTTACACGTGTTGACATGCACTAGTGTTTGACATGTATAGTCGGCATTATAACGGGCGTATTCGTGTTATGATTTGTTTACATGGAGAAAACAGACACTTTAGTAATATGGTCTAATAGATTTTGCCTAACTGAAAAAAGGAATATTAAAACATGATCCATAGATAAATATTCAAGGCACTCATTTTCATTATTAGGAAATGTGAAAGTTTCCCATGTATTGAGTGACATAAAGAGAGTACTAGAAAAATTAAAACAAAAATCAAGCATATCAAGGGGGGTAACTTACGCCGAACGTTGCGGCAAATGGCGGTTGTCACTCCTTTTCTTTTTAGCTCACCTGTCACAAAGTGACAGGGTGAGCTTTTGTGATCGCTTTTCGTCCGTCCGGCGTCCGTCCGTAAACTTTTACTTTAAATGACATCTCCTCATAAACCACTAAGCCAATTTCATCCAAATTTCACTGGAATGTTCCTTTGGTGGTCACCTTTAAAAATTGTTCAAAGAATTTAATTCCATGCAGAACTCTGGTTGCCATGGCAACCAAAAGAAAAAACTTAAAATATCTTCTTTTAAAAAACCCAAAGAGCTAGAGATTAGATATTTGGCATGAAACATCTTCTAGTGAGTGTCTACCAATTTTGTTCAAATAAAAGCCCTGGGGTCAAAATTGGCCCCGCCCCAGGGGGTCATTGATTTTCCCTATATGCATATAGTAAAAACTTAAAAAATCTTCTTTTAAAGAACCCAAAGAGCTAGAGCTAAGATATTTAGCATGAAACATGTTCTAATGGGTGTCTTCCAAGTTGGTTCAAATAAAAGCCCTGGGGTCAAAATTGGCCCCGCCCCGGGAGTCATTGATTTTCCTTATATGTGTATGGCAAAAACGTAAAAAATCTTCTTTGAAAAAACCCACTTAGCTAGAGTTTAGATATTAAGCATGAAACATCTTCTAGTGAGTGTCTACAAAGTTTGTTCAAATAAAAGCCCTGGGGTCAAAATTGGCCCCGCCCCAGGGGGTCATTGATTTTCCCTATATGCTGCTGCTATGCATATAGTAAAAACTTAAAAAATCTTCTTTTAAAGAACCCAAAGAGCTAGAGCTAAGATATTTAGCATGAAACATGTTCTAATAGGTGTCTACAAAGTTTGTTCAAATAAAAGCTCTGGGGTCAAAATTGGCCCCGCCCCAGGGGGTCATTGATTTTCCTTATATGTGTATAGCAAAAACTTAAAAAAATCTTCTTTGAAAAAACCCAAATAGCTAGAGTTTAGATATTAAGCATGAAACATCTTCTAGTGAGTGTCTACCAAGTTTGTTCAAATAAAAGCCCTGGGGTCAAAATTGGCCCCGTTTCAGGGGGTCATTGATTTTCCCTATATGCATATAGTAAAAACTTAAAAAATCTTCTTTTAAAGAACCCAAAGAGCTAGAGCTAAGATATTTAGCATGAAACATGTTCTAATGGGTGTCTACAAAGTTTGTTCAAATAAAAGCCCTGGGGTCAAAATTGGCCACGCCCCGGGGGTCATTGATTTTCCTTATATGTGTATGGCAAAAACTTAAAAATCTTCTTTGAAAAAACCCAAATAGCTAGAGTTTAGATATTAAGCATGAAACATCTTCTAGAAAGTGTCTACAAAGTTTGTTCAAACAAAAGCCCTGGGGTCAAAACTGGCCCCGCCCCAGAGGTGTCATTGTTTTTAACTATATGTGTATAGTAAAAACTTAAAAAATCTTCTTTTAAAAAACCCAACGAGCTAGAGGTTAGATTTTAAGCAGGAAACATCTTTTTGTTGGTGTCTACCAAGTTTGTCCAAATAAAAGCCCTTGGGTTTAAATTGGCCGTGCCAAAGGGGGGGGGGGAGGTCATTGTTTTTCATTATATGTGTGTAGTGAAAACTTAACATCATGAAGAATGGGTGTCTTCCAAGTTTGCTCAAATAAAAGCCCTGGGGTTTAAACTAGCCCCGCTCCGGGGGCCTATATACAGGTGAGCGACCTCAGGGCCATCATGGCCCTCTTGTTTCAATATACCGTAAATTTGACTGATTTTTAAATTAGCAGATTATATTGAATTGAGATAAGATAATTAAAGACCATCTGCTCGTATAATATAAAAAGATATTCAAAGGTCGGACAAACAATATGTAAAGCTGGTACGGATTTGGATTTATGCGCCGCAATATGCGGTCCTGTTCCAGAGTTCCTATGGTGTAACCATGTTTCAGACAATTACGTAACATGGAGGAAACGGTAATGTAACGATTCGCCACATTAACGATTCGTCACATAACGATTCGCCACAGATTAAATAACGATTTGACACATGTTGAAAATACAAACCTTTTCACACCTATATTAAAAGTTTTAAAAACTGCACATGTCTATACAACCTTCTTTCCATTTTATATTTCATTCGTAAATTACATAAATTAAGGCTGAAAATTATACTAGAAACGGCTTTTATTGAATAAAAACACATTAAAACAAATATATTTTATTACCAAAATTACATAACACAATGATTTGTTAGTGATAAAACCAGGATTTATTTTATTGAATAAAACCACATTAAAACAAACATACGTAATTTCTAAAATTACAAAGCACATTGTAAATTAGCTAACATTTGTTTATAATATACATACTTAATACAGCTTTTATTGAATAAAAAGCACATGAAAACGAACATATTTTATTACCAAAATTACAAAACACATAGTAAAGTAGTTAACACTTGTTAATAATATAACCTGGAAAATTATACTAAATACAGCATAAAAGGAACATGTCGGCGTCAATTAAATATTTTTACAACAATCCTAAGATAATTGGCTTGTTTAAATTAAGGTGTGACAAATGTTTTATGCGTTCCTTAAAGTTACATTAAATAAATATGTAAAAATATTTTGCCGTCGGCCTAATAACCAAGCATTCTACTGTTTTATTAACCTTATTAACAGTATTGTTGTAAATCTCATCAATTATTGTTCATAAATTAAGATTTTAAACGGAAAACCCCACGGTAACACTAAAGTTCGTATACGAATTTTAACATGCAAATGAAGACTATAATCAGTTCATGTATGTGCTACGTCACAGTGTTAT